CGCTGATCAACAAGCAAGGAGGAAAGAAAGATTGAAGAAAAATATTTTCCTTGGTTCACACGACCTTCTGTACACGCATGAAAATAGTGCTCGTTGAGCACACCCTAGCTAAATAGCGTACAGTAGTTACCCACACTAACCTGTTTTTTGTTGTAGCAATATATCCTATTCATAACCATTGAATCCTGCTGTCTGGGCTGAATTACACTGAGCTTACACTGGCAGCTCAGCTTATACGGTGACTCTTGCTTGTGGCCTAGAACAGGGTGGGCTTCTGGTTGGCTCGGTGCTGCTGGATGTTGTGAGAGGAATAGTTCAGACAATTCTGAGCTGGTAAGGGTGCGTTCCTACAGCCTCTTATCAGAAAATACTCGTCAGACTTGCGTCGCACCACTCTGTAACGCGCGTAATCACATTCAACCTCATTGTACCGCACAAGTCTGACAAGAGGTGCGTATGATACTGGTAAGAGGCGCAGGAACATGCCCTAAAACGCACCGAGAATATACAGTGAGTTTACCAGCCACAAGACAGGCAACCCCAAAGAAATGCCTACATGAGTGGCAGCGCGCGTGGTCTGACCACAATGTCAGCAGCGCTGAGCCCCTGCTCGCTCCAACAGCTGCTCCATCACCCTCCTCCGCCTCCTCTGGTTTCTTCGGTTGTAGCGCCGCCAAAGTGGTCCCCTGCCCACCGCCCGCGCTACAGCCTGCCAGATCATGTCCTCCGCCCTCCGGGCGTGGGCGGCGTGGAGTAGACAAAGTGGTGTGCCACCTGCCAGGGTGCATGATGCGGGGGGGGGGGGGAGGGGGGGGAGAGGGGGAGGAATATGGCGGCAGAATTTGCGAATGTGAAAGCAGAGGGTGAAAGATGGAGGCAGATGATGCGCATGGAAGGGAGATGGTTTGAAACCAGAGTTCAGATGACAGAGACAGCGCACACCACCACACCCCCCAACCCCTCCCACACACCTCTCTCAGCCGCTGCCACATGGCGAATGCTGATTCGTGCGACACGTTTTGCAGGAAGGCCTCGACGTATCCGGGGCGGAGGGCGAGGGCCTGTGGGAGGAAGAGGGCGAAGGCGGTGTAGTCAAGGGCTTCCTCGAATGGCAGGTCCAGCGAGTCGGAGACGACCAGCGGGATGCAGTGCGATAGGATGGCGTCAAACAGCCGGCATGATGATGCCGTGTCGCCTGGCGAGGGAGAGGGGAGAGGTGAGTACGAGGGCGGAGAGGGAGAGGGAGGGTGAGTACGAGGAAGGTCAAGGGGGAGTTGGCGCGAGGTGGGGGGGAAAGGGAAGCATGGCCAGGCACGAACAAGATTGCAGGTTTGCATGGCCAGGCACGAACAAGATTGCAGGTTTGCATGGCCAGGCACGAACAAGATTGCAGGTTTGCATGGTATGTGGAAGGAAGATGATTGTAGTGAGCAACGTAAGCAGAAGGAGGAGGGCGAGCAGTGCAGAAGAAGGTGAGGGCGAGCAGAGGCGACCTTCAGGCACGAGGCAGAACTTGGAGGCGCGCATGCCTGCTGTGGCCGCCTGCACCCCTCCCTGCAACGGTGACCCCTCTGCTATGTCCGCCCCACTCACGTTCACCAGCAGCCGCGCCAGCTGCACCCGCATGGCCCCTCCCTGGTGCAGCGCAGGGGCGGGGAAGGGGGAGAGGGGCGAGGGGAGGAGGCCAGATTGAAGGGGCAACGCAGTGGAAGGGGGCTGGGTGGTTGAGCGGGTCAAGGGAGGGAGTAGACGGCACTGGTTCGGGCTGGCTAATCCGACCTGCATTGCATCCCTCTCTGCAGCTCACATGCACACCTGTTGCCGGTTGAGCACACCTGTTGCCGGTTGAGCGTGCCTCTGAAGAATATCAGAGTGGGCCGTGCAGCCGCCCACGCGGCCACAGCCTCCGCCCCTCCCACACTGCCCTGCCCGCCCTCTGTCTCCCCCGGCAGCGAGTCATTGAGGAAGGGCGGGATGAGAGCAGAGTAGGGCACGAGCACGTCCTTGTTTAAATGCGCCACCTGCTCTGCCGGCTGGCTGAAGTCAACCATCAGCATGTGCGCTGCTGCCACCTCATGCCGCACCGTCGACAGTGCATGTGGGTGCACCGCTGGGATGAGGAAGTCCCGCCGCCGAGACACAAGGCCCCCCTTGCCTCCCTCGCTCTGCGACCCCTCTGCTGCATCGCCACTTTCAGCCCCTCCAGCCCCACCATCAGCTCCCTGCTCACCCTCCACCGCTGCATTCTGCGCCTGCTCGCCCGCGTCCGCTTCCTTCCCCTTCCGCCCCCCTTTCAGCACCCGCAGCAGCCGTTGTCTGCTGCTGCCGCCCCGCCTCCCCTGCACCACTGCCACCAGGTGAGCCCTTCCCAGTCGCCACCTCCACCTTCTCCAGCAGCTCGCCCTCCCCCTGCTGCCCCTTTGCCCCCTGGCTGGCCCCTCCGCCCAGCCCGCCCCCGTCCCCCCACAGCGAGTGCTGTGTCACTGCGGCCAGCAAGTGCTGCTCCTCTGGTATCCTCGTGTCGCCTGCCCGCCTCCGCCTCTCATTGCTGCCTTGGGGGCGCAGGGAGAGGGGGAGAAAAGCAGGCAGAAGCGGAGGTGGGAGAGGGAAGGAAGAGACAGACAAGGAGCACACAGGAAGCGAGCCAGGATGCTCTCTCCACGGAGACACTGCTTGCACCACGTGGCAGGCTGTCACAAACGCACTCAAACGAGTACGAACCGGGCAGCACTGACTCACGTCTTCATCTGAGTGGCATAGAAGGCGGAGGAGAAGGCCGGCACAAAGATGATGTGGGCGTCCTCTGCCCGCCGCACGCGCTGCACGGAGGGCAGCCCGCCGGCGAGCAGGGAGAGCGTGAGCCAGTACTCGGCCGCGTACTGCTCTATGTGCACCCCAAACCCCTCCACAAACTGCGGCACCTGCACCAACCCCTCTCCACCCCCTCCTCCGCCTCCCCCTCCGCCCTCCCCCTGGCCGCCCTCCATCCACCCATCGTCCTGCACCATGAACCCCACCACGTCGCCGTCCGCCCGAGGCCGCAGCGAGTTGCCTTTGAACTGCCAGTCCGCCGGCATGCCGTGCTGCAGCTGCACCGCCACCCGGTTCGCAAAGCGCCACCGTTGCTGTTGACGGGGCGTGGGGAGAGAAGGGGGAGATGGAAGGCAGCGTGTGGGGGGAGGGTGGGGGGAGGGTGGGGGGAGGGTGGGCGCGGAGGAAAGGGAGGAGGTGGGTATGGTGGGCGCTCACAGTGGCGCAATGGCATGGGGCGGCATGGGGACTGGTGACAAGAAGAGACGGAAGGCTGTGTGGTGTGCAATACTGAGGAGTGGCGGGTGGTCGTACCAGCAGTACGTGGAAGTTGAGCTCGCCTGTCAGTGGCAGCATGTACACCCGCAGAGGCATCGGCACCTCCCCTCCCCCTCCTCCTCCCTCCTCTCCTTCCCCGCCCTCCCCTCCCTGCCCTCCTTCCCCCTTTCCCTCCGCTTCTCCCCCATCGGTTCCTCTCTCCGCCCCCTCTTCCAACTCCTCCGCCGCCCCCGTACTCCCTCCCAATGCTTCATCTCCCTTGAAAGCAGCCTCGCTACTCGCTACAGCGTCAGCAGCGTCCGCCATGGTCACTGCCTTTTCCCGAATCACGTCCGCCTGCTCTCCGCCCATGCGCATTGCGCTTTCCGCAATCCCCCCATTCCCCCCCAAATGCAACGATTCCCCGCGCTCGAGCTGCGGACCCCCTCCCCCTCCCTCGCACACGACCCCCCGTTCCTGCTTCTGCGACGGCGACAGCGTCGCCAGCAGTCACACGGATGGCGCCGTGCGACGCGGCCCAGGGCACGAAGAGGAAGAGGAGCAGCGCGAGGAGGCTGACGAAGACCATCAGCGCGTACACGCGCGCCACGTGGCACTTGCAGCACAATCCACTCTTGCCCGCCGGGACGAACGGAGACGGCGGCCTCGCCGTGAGTCGCGGCGTCGCCATAATCGAGGCTCGAAGCGGTAGGCTGGAGTGGGGAGTGCGGTGAGTGCTGCGCGGATGTGCGCAGGAGGCGTCAATTCATGCTACACTAAATCCCCGTGAGAATCCGACGCGGTCATTCTACTGCAAATACAGCGAGAGCTGTACCGCGAGTTGCGCTGGCAGAAAGCAGCGATGACGAAGCGACAACTGCAGACTCGTGTTGTGGTGAGGAATGGGGCTTGCGGTGAGGTGATAGTTGAGCTACGCGCGACAGGCGCGCAAAGCAAAACCTTCAGTTCTAATTTCTACCTAGGATGAGGCGGCGCAAGTTGTTGGCAACCTCGTTATGAAGGTGCACAATTTGTTATTATTATGGTATATTCATGTACAGTATTTGATGTACATAGACATGCGTTACGGAACAACTGACAAGATACTTATCAATATTCCCGGATTCATTTATTGGGGCATGGCATCTGATGCTTTGCCATGCCAATCTGGCATTGTCCTTCAGTAATTCGAGTCGCGACTCATGAGACCCGTACGAGCAAGCGAGCAGCCGTCACACGTCCTTCGCGTGCTTCCTCGGGCTACTCAACGCATTCAGAATGTTTTGCCGCCATCCTCTTTCACCCGGATCGCCATTTCGCGCTCGATTGTCCGCCCTCTGTTGGTGTGCCGCTCGAAAGAGTCCACCCTTCCGCGGGGCTTCTTCGCGACGTGCGCCAATCCGCTCGCTTTGCTCCGGTGTTCCGCCTCTCGCCGCTGCTGTCATTGGAATCGGCAGGCGAGCAGACACTGGCGTCTCCGCCGGTGGGGCTGCATTCCGAAGGGGCGGCGGAGTCACCGCGGAGCACGGGGATGGGGGTTGGCGGCATGGAGGGGGCAGTGCGCCAAGGAGCGGCACTGGGCGAGGGCGAGGGGGAGGCAGGAGGGGAGGAATGGGGGGATGACGAGCAAAGACGGGGAGCGCCTGTGCTGAGACGATGACGACGACGACGGCCGATCCTTCGCTGCTGCGACGGAACACGCAGAACGCTCAGCGCTGCTATCGCCATGCATCACCGACGCGCGTCGCGGCAGGGTCGGCGAAACCTTCTGCGACGCGCACGCGCAGGGAAGCGAGTTATGTCGCAACAGCTGGTAGCGCGCCGAACCCTCCCTGCCCGCGAGCCCTGATTCCCCCGCGCGCTGCGCCGTGTCGTTGCGCACTCCCATTTCGTTGCGATTTGCGCCGTGCGGTCGCCGCTCGTCGTCGCCAGAGGTTTCCGCCAGCCCCTCCTCCAGCCACCGCGGCTCGTACACGCTCCGCCACACGCCCCGGCTGTCCGCGCGCGACCGCCCGCGCCTCGCGCCCTTCTCGTTGCCGCGCTCCTTCGACTCTGGAAACGATTTCGCTCGCTTCGCCGGCGTTACAGAGGCCGTCGCAATTGCGACGTTCAGGTCGTCGCAGCTGCCGCGTCGCGGCATTAATTGTCGACCGAGCGACCTCATCTTCTCGCGCCACGCCCAGCTCCGCCTCGCACTGATCGCCCCCGCAGTCCCTGTGATGGGGCTTGACAGAGAAAACGGCGCGCTGTGCGGCACTTGCTCCAACGGCTCTTCCTCCTCCTCCTCGTCCGCCGCCGCCGCGTTCTCCCACAGCATTCCCCATTCCGCGGCGTCGAGATTCCGAAGCCTAGCAACGACTGCCGCCTTGCACTCGCTAATGCGTATCACATCTGCGGAGGCCATCTGTAGCGTTGAGACACTCAGCTAGCTTCTGACAATAGCAACTTGATCTGTATGGAAGAATGGGAAGGAAACTCAAGAGCGCCAGTTTCCGTTCACCAGAGATGAGGACGAAGAGTGCATCTGTTTACCCAATTTCAACACACATCTCATCCGCGCGAAGAAATTCCTTGACTAGCAACCGACACCCGCATGCTTCTGGCTGACTGTCCTGTGCCATGCTCTGCCATACTATTCGGAGGTCGTGCTCGGCGCGCTGTGCGTAGGATATACCGAGGAAGGTGCGACGCAACGAAAGGCCAATGGCGCACCACGCGCGACAAGCGACAAGCACTTCTGTAACTTCCGTCTGCCGAATGTCATTCGCCAGCGCCTCACGCGGCAAATGCAGTCAGCAATGTGAGCCGCTTGTCCGTTTTGCAGTCGGTGGCAGTCGGCATGGGCACGACAAGCGATGCCAGGGTTGGCACCCGCTGCCATGTAACCGCAACTTCTTCTGGAAGCTTGTGTGCTGCACTGTATGGCTCGTGTGTGCGGTATCATTGCTAACGAGTGACGTTTGAATGAGGATATCTCCGCCTAAGGGGGTCAGTGCTTCTCATTCGGCTATACACCTTGCAAATGTACGGCATATCATTTACCACAGCTTAGTATTCTACAGAATTGAGAAGCCGAGAATTTACGTAGCAGCAACTGTTACAGCATAGCTCCTAGGTACACCTGCACAATGTCGTCACTAGCCTCCTGCTCCACCCTAACCTGCGCAGAGGGCGATCTCAAAAGCTCTACCTGTTGCTTGCGCATGGAAAAGATCGCCCAGCCGTAGCACACCACACCTACGACCTCCAGCAGGCAGCCGAGCAGGCTGATGGGGGCCATGGGCGTGCGGAAGAGCAGCCAGGAGAAGATGAGAGTGATCACGAGCTTCAGATTGCCCGCCACGTTGAACGTCAGCGCACTGCCATGGGGCCAGGGCCATTGGTGCGGGCGCAGGCCGTGGGAGGGGGGTGAGGGATTGGGAAAAAGGTATGGATGCATATACGCCATGGAGCAGGGAAGGCAGCATGAGTTTCGGGTTGCTGGGGAATATGAGACAATGCGTGACTTGCACGGTTTGCACACGCTCGAGGTCAAGGGCATGCGGCATTCAAGTGCACACGGTGCCAAGGAGTGACGGTGGTGGTGGCATGCAAAGCTGCAGAGAGGCTGCTGGAAGGGGCGACTTACCTGGTCTTTTGAATCGTGTAAAAGAGGGAGAAGTTGAGGCAGAAAGCGAAGCAGCCACTAATGAGGATGGCGATGACAGCGGGCCAGGGGTTGGCCTGCGCCATGAACCACCCCCACAGCTGCCACCCCTCCAGCACTGCTGCTGGCGGTGCGAGAATGAGCGCCGAGTACGGCACCAGCTGGTACAGCTGACAACGATGAAAACAGGAAAGGGCGGAATGGAGGGGGTAAGGAAGCGGGAAACCAAGCGAAGAGGGGAAGGGGAGACAAAGAGGGAAGAGTGGAGGAGAGAGAGGTCGATGAGCGAGGGAAGACGCAAGGAGCTTCCCTTTTCTACGGTTGGGGGCTGACGGTGCTGATGGATTCAAGGCGGTAGTGCTTCTATATGCGCAGCACCTTGGCGATTGTTAAGTCAACTAAACCATCATCAGGTGCAAGGACGAGGAGGAGACGAGAGGGAAGTCAGGGGGTGGCGAGGTGGGAGATAGGGTGGTGAGGGCTCACGGCGTTGAGGGAGTCGAGGCTGTACTGCTTGCCCTTGAGCAGCACCTCGGCACAGATGACAGTGGCACAGCCCAGCACCACACAGCACAGCGCCGACAGGAACGTGGGCAGCGCGAAGTGCACGGAGGGCGCGTAGGCCAGCATGGCCCCCGCCATCACCGGCAGCAGCGAGAGGCACAGCCGCCAGTCGTACTCCGCCTGTAGCGCCAGCGCCTGGATAGCCACTGCGCGAGCGGGGCGGGGGTGGGGGGAGGGAGGAGAGGAGAGGGAAGTTAGAGGTTGGAGGTCTGGGACGGGGAAAGGGAGGGAGGTGAAATGTGGAAGGGCAGGCTGGGACATAACCCGTGAGAATTGAGCGCGCTTGGCATGGAGTGATGCGCACAGCGCACCTGTGAGGCCGGGCGAGAGGGCCTTGGTGGAGAGGAGGGCGGGCAGCGGCACGTAGCGCAGGGAGAGCTGGCCGAGCACGACGTTGAAGCACGTGACCACCGCCATGGGCATCACCCACGCCACCATCTCCCCCGCCTCCACCTCCGCCTTGGGGCACACATGCAGGATCTGCTTCGTGTGGGGTGCCACGCGATGGTCAACGAGGTGATGGCACAGCAGGGGAGGGGTGGAGATTGGCGGTAATATTTGAGTTGAATGGACTCAGGAATCGTGTTGGGTGGCATGGCATGACCCGCGGCAAGCATGGCCTGCGCCTGGACTGCCACCCTGGGGCCCACGGGAGAGGGGCGAACGCAGGATGGACACGATGGGAGGTGGGGGCCGTGGGGGCAGGGGCACGAGGCGAGAGGCTGTGAGAGGCGAGTGATGTGTGGGGTCTAATGGGAGTGGCATAGGTCAGATGGAATGAGCGAGCGGAAGGAGGGGGCGCGGGAGGCACGACTGACCTCAATAGCCGTGAAGGCACGACTGACCTCAATAGCCGTGAAGGCACGACTGACCTCAATAGCCGTGAAGGCGCCGACAAATGAGAGCGCGAAGTGGATGGCGGTGAGCGTGAGCGGGAAGGCAAAGCCGTACCGCTGCAGGTGGGGGATCAGGCCAGGGGGGGCGGGGTTGCGGGGCGCCAGCGGGGCAGAGAGACACGGGGCAGCGGCGGGGAATGAGGGGCCGAGGGGCGGAGGGAAATGAGGCGGGGTAGACTGGAGAGGCAGACACGACAGGCATGCAAACAAGAAGTGATGGAGGGGAGGGGAGTGAGGTGAGTGGCTGGCGGGGCGGGGTGGCACCTGGAAGATCTCGTTGTTGACGAGGATCATGATAATGTTGAATGTGCACCACTGCGCCACTGACGCCACCTGCGCTGCACCGAGCGAGCGGCAGGAGGGGGAGTAACGGGGAGGGAGGGGGAGAGAGGGGGAAGGAGGGGGAGAGGGGGGAAGAGAGGGGGAGACGGCGCATGAGGAACAAGCCCCCATCCTTGCCTTGCAGCACCAAACCGTGCCAACCCGTTCCCAATGTTAGGAGGGCAATCATATGAGGGCCATGTTAGGTGGCCACGTGACCTGCCAGAAGAACTTGGGCGAGCAGATGGCGCGGCACGGCTCCACCAAACAGCACGCCGCTCCGCTGGGATCCAACGCGCTGCATATCCACCCGCTGCCTCCCCACCCGCTGCCGCCCCAGCTACTGCTCCGCGCGTGCCGTGGCGACGGCCGGGACTTGCGCGACTGTGACCACGACGATACGGCCTGCGAGTCATCGCCTCGTCCTGCGCTGGACGCGTGAGGGGTTCGGATTGTATTCGCGGTTTGAAATGTTTCAGGCGAAGGGATTGCACGTAAAGCTTCTAACACTTGAGATTTCAGCCCAAACAGCACAGCACAGCACGCCACCCATCCTAACCATGACAAGTGTCCGGCCACGTGAACAAATACGGCTGTTGAGAATCGCGGCACGCCATGTCTAACGACTCGCGAAGTGGAGGCGGCGGGATCACTCACTCCGGCGGCGACCACGCGGAGAGGAAAGCCTGCGACTCGCTTCCTTCCCGGTCACTCAAGCTGCAGCTGCCGGCCTCCAGCCGGCCATTCTCCAACCGGTCATTTTCCAAACGGTCAGGCTCCAAACCGTCAAAGACGTGGGATCTTGCGCTCGTGCTCGGCGCAGAGGCGGGCGTGGAAGCGCGGCCTCTGAGCTCCGGCGCGGAGTGGTAGTCGGCGCCCGGCGAGCACGGCGACGCGACGCTCAAGTCCTCGAGGCTTCCTCGCGGCCGTTCCATCAACGCGGCAACGCGCGTTACTTTCCCGTGCTAGAGTTCTAGGTCCTAGCGCTGGAACGAGCAGGGTTAGTTATGCAGAGAGCATGGTTGAATCATGGTAGTGGAGCAACTGACGTTGCATACAAACGTTCAGGCTTGGCACCTAGAAAGTAATAAAATCGTCTTGAGTTATCCACCATTGCGACGCAGCTGCTGCTGCTTATTTCTCTCGAAGCATTATCAGTGACCTGACCAGTCTCGCCAGAAATATTTGGATCTGCTTCAGCTCTTTATTTCCAGTCGAGCCCTTGTACTCGCCGGCAATCAGAATGGAGGATAGAATCAAGGGACGCTCCGAGATGGAACCTGGGGGGAGGGCTAAACGGACAGCTTCGATCAATTCATTTGCGGCGAATGACGTTCAACCGTTCGATTGTGGGAGCATCAGGTGGGTTGCGACTTGACGAACTATGCGACAGACTTGGGTTTGGCGAGGCTTCTGGCTTCCTCCACACATAGTTTGATCTGATCGCTTTTGTGGCGAAGCACCTTGGGTTGTAAGCATTGATACAAAAGTGGCCCTAACTTCACCTAAAATGTTCCTTACATAGAGAAACATATGTTCCCAAGACAGCTAGCAACACGTAGAGCAAACGCGCTGGATTTTCATTTATCACACCTATTGGGCCAATTCATCACGTGCTGCAGCGAGTGCTACTTGCTGCATGTGCTGCTTGAAATTGAACCTCACCACCCGAGGGCTCACCGCAGTGATAGGCACCCTTCCTCCTGATGAGGTTGGTCTTTCCCTCCCCGAAACACTCCCCCAACTTGCTTCGTCCAAGCTCTCAACCCTAACAGGGAACGCCCCCTTGTCTTCCCTCCCCATGCGAATCTCCCCCTCGCAGTCCCAAGAGGCCGACAGGTGGTGATGTCGCCCCACACGAGCCACTTCCCCGCCTGTACGCCCCCTCGCGCCCGCATCTCTCTCCGCTGTCTTGCTCCGCGCCAGTACCTGCCCCCCTAGCGCCTCCGCCCATGCCAGCTCATCACTGTGCCTTGACCGCTGGCGCCTGCCTGCCACATCCACTCGAAGCCCTTCCCCCGCCCTTCCGCCCGCGCGCGTCCCCCTTCCCGCCCTCAACCTGCCGCTTCTGTTCCCCACTCCGTCGCTGCTGGGGGGCCGGGGAACGACAGGGGATGGTAACGGTAGCGCGGGGGGCGTGTCAATGGGTGGAGGGGGGGGCGCAACAAGGGCGAGCGCGGCGCTTGACCAATCCGAGGCGGAGGCGAGAAGCGGCTCGTCGGCGAGCTGCGGCTTGAGCTCGCCCGAGGCGGCACCCGATTCGCGCAGCACGGCAGGGGCTACTGGCGCGGTCTTGCGTCGGGAAAAAATGGGATCACGCGCGTCGATGTGACGGGGGGAAGCGGCGCTCTTGCTGGGGGCTGTCTGCGGGCGCACGGGGCGAGGCAGCGCCAAAACGATTCTGTCGCGTGAGCTGTTTGATTCGGGAGGCGATGCTGAGTGCTCATTCTCAGAACACGGTCGATCTACGCCCTCTGGTACACCCGACGCATTCGTCGCACTCGTCGCGCGCGGGGACAACGAAATGAAATCGACGCCTTCCGCACGGCGCTCTGGATCCGCGCCGCCGGGTTCCGAATCCTCTCGCTCGTCCACGCTCGTCGCCTCCCGCCCAACCATTTCGTTATGACAAGAATCGACCGCCAAGTGCTGAAACGAGGCGCTTCGTCGGCCGAGGTCCGCGCCGTGCTCTCCGCCATCATCCACAACGCTCTCGGCGCTCTCCACGCGACAGCTGCCGACCCGCAAACTCAAATCTTGTCCGGCGCGCTCCTGACGGCGAGAGTTGGAGAGCAGCGACGGCAGCAGACGCTTGGACTTTCTGTCTGCGTTAGAAACCGCCGATTTGTCCGATTTGTCCGATTTGTCCGCAAACAGCATCCGCTGCACCTTGCGCGCCGTCGACCCCATCACGCTCCACTTCTTCCCTGTCGCAGCCCCTTCGTTCGTCGTCGCAGCGGTGCTCGCGACAGAGCCTTCGTGCGCCTCTGCGACGACTTCATCCATGTCGGCGGCGCGCTGCCAAAGTTCGCCCGACCCCATGATGGACGAAGCGCGCTGCAACGGACGCAACACATAAGTGTCGAGCGACGCCTTGAAATGCGGTGAGGCCGCGGTTTCTGCCATGCCTAATTGGTCAACTCTACTGGGAAGGAAAACTGTGGAAACCGGCGATGTCGGTAAGGATATGGGGTGATGATGATGATGCCCAAGACCTTCAACTCCACCACAATGCAGACGTGCGTCAGTGTGTGCACCACTGAGGGAGCACACACAGTGGAGCACCGTTTGTAGAGAATCTGGGCAGGTGTGGAGCACTGTAAACTGTGGAAGATGCATTGCGCGGAGTGAATCGACAGCAAGTGGAAGGAGTTGGCTGTCAGAACTGCTCTACATTTCATTTCACATCAGGCCGGATGGGCGCATTACGTGAAGTCAAAGGCTGTGTATGGCTTGGTGAATTCACGCACTTTGAATTCACGGTCAAACCTTGAAATTCACGAGGCCCAGAGAGATGTACCAATTCCGCATTTTTGGAACTCTTTCCACGTGGTTCGGGAGATTTGGAAAGTTGTCCAACTGTACGAGAGGATACAGTATGCGGCTGGAACCTTGAGAAACCCGCCCCGTTCAAAGAGGTGTTGCGTGGACATTCACATTCACTCGATGAATTCCATGACCGGGAGCGAGTTCTACACTGGTTTGGCGATTCTTTTCACTGGTGGAGCAGAATTCAGGAAAGGGCACACGAGAAAATCTTTGCAGCATGGTGAGCGCACACCAGCAACACCTGAACAAGGTCAGCCTTTCTCCCTGTGGTGGTGATGAGTGGCGCGTAGTGGAGTACTGTAACGATGACAGCCGCGCCGCGAACCATTTCTATTCGTTCAGTACAAGCGCCGCATCGTGTCGTTCGTTGGTCCATTGACAAACACACAGCTCCTCGACAGCTGTCCTTTGGACCACGCTCCCACTGGACCAGACCAGGAAGCTATCCTTGCCAAACCGCGGTATGATAGCGCGCTTTACGATATGTTGCTGTACACTAAATGACTGAAGCTTATGTTCTACTCTACTTTCTACTACATGTTCAAACACATGTTCTACTTTCTAGATTCTAGTAGCCACCAGCAGGCTCCAGCAAAGCCAAGGCCTTTCTAATAAAATCAACAGCGGTTGGAACGTCATTACCCGCAAGCGCACTCACGGCATATCGAGCCGCCTTGTGCGCATCCGCTATCTCGCGAGGCCCTGGGCCTTGACAGTTTGAGACGCTGGCCATGGCCGTAGACCCATTCGCTGCTGCTGCAACGTTGTGCCCTGCTCTTGCTCCCCCGCCTGACGCCGAACCCCCACCACCTCCACCGTACTCCGAATGTGGAGAAGCCTGCGATGGGTGTGCCCCATAGGTACCCCCTGCTGCACCCCCCATGCCTGCGCTGGCAGCAGCAGCACCGCCTGGCATGAAGGAAAAGGCTGGGCCAGGAGCAGTGGCACTGGCTCCAGGAGCAGTGGCACTGGCTCCAGGAGCAGTGGCACTGGCCGCAGAACCAGGGGCTGCATTGGGGGCAGGCGGGGTGGCAAACATGGGGTTTGTGAAAGCGCCTGCTGCTGCCGCCGCCGCCGCCGCTGCTCCTGCCTGTGGCTGTTGGAATGGCGGTGCGGCAGCAGCAGCAGCAGGCTGGGCCCACCCGCCTGCTGCTGGGGCTGACGGGGCTGACGGGGCTGCAGGGTTGGCAGTGGAGGGTGGCGTGGCAGAGGGGTACTGGGAGTCGGGAGCCCAATGGGTGAAGGTTGGTGGGGAGACCAGGGAGTTGGCAGGAGGCGTGGGCAAGGAGGAGGAAGGGGCAGCAGGGGCGGTGGCAAAGGAGGTGATAAATGCGCTGTCTGACGCGGCTGTGCTCTGCTGCCATGCCTGCGCCGCCTGTGCTGCCTGCCCCTGGGGTGCTTGCAAGTAATCCCCATGGCCCTGGTGATACGGATTCGCTTGGGCATGAGGGTTGGGCTGCATGGCAGCGGTGCCACCTCCCACCGGCCTCGCTACCTGCAGCCTGCCGGAACCACCCATGGCACTGACGCCACCGGGGGCAGCTGGGGCAGCGTTGGCACCATAGGTGCTGGGAGCAGGAGGGCCGGAGAACATGGCATCCAGGGAGTCGGCTGAGGGGAACGAGGGCGCTGCAGGAGGGGCCACGGCAGGGGCTGTTGCAGTGGCGGCAGCATCGGCGGGAGCAGCAGCGGTGGCATCAGCGTCGCCCCCCGGTGGGCCGGGAGTGGGCCGCCTGCCGTCCGCCAGCGCCCTGCGTATGTCCGCCGCCTTCCACACCGCGTAGCGCTGCTTCTGCTCCACCTGCGCGGAGGGATGGGGGAAGCGGCGAACAGATGACGGGGGGGAGGAGAGAGTGCGAGAGAGAGGTGGAGACGGAGAGAGGGGAAGAGGAGAGGAAATGAGGGGGAGGTGAGCGGGAGAGGTGAGGTACAGAGGAGAGGCCGTGGCAAGGAGGAAAGGGGAAGGGAGAGGGAGGGGGGAAAAGCCAGGCAGGGAGCAGGGAGGCTGACGTTTCTGCAAGGGATGAGAGCATTGACGCTGGCTGACTGAATCCCCCAGGCAAAATCACAACCTCCTAGAAGGTTCCACGACGGGCGAGAGATAGGGCAGTGCACGTGGGCGGGTACCTCGAGAGCGAGCTCCCCAAACTGGCGGCACACTTCAAAGAATATCCCCGCCGCATAGAACGTCTTGGCCGTGCCCCTGGCGGACAGGGGGGAGGGGAGGGGAGGGGGGGAAGGGAAGGCGGGAAAGGAGGAAGGTTGGGATAAGGGGTGCTGTGCATGGAGTGAAGTGACAGGGATGGCGTGTGGTGTGCGTGTGGAGGGCGGGTTGGAAGGCTTAATGCGCGGAGCTCGTAGTGGTGTGTGCTGGGAGTGGCACACGCACCAACAACGTCCCCGCCCCGCATAGCAGTGGCACGCACTCATCCCACTCATCGCCCCTACCACACACTTCCCCCCCCCCCCAACCCTCCCCCATTCCCCTTCTCCCATCCAATGAGCCGCAGCGCCAGCAGCAGCACCCCACATCACCCCACGGCAAGCCATGCGAGGCAACGCACATGTCAGCGCGGCCGGCGCGGTCCTGCTTGTCCGCCTTGCTGAACACGCGCTGCGCGAATCCCTCCACGTGCAGCCCGTCGTCCGGCGACAGCTGCAGCGCCGCCTTGTCCTGCCGGGCGGAGGAACAGAGGGAGGGGTGCGAGGGGTTGGCAAGGTGCATTGACGATTGAAACAGGACGGGGAGACAAGGGAGAAATTCCCTCCCTCCACGTGCAATCTGTCGACTGGGGACAGCTGCAGCACCGCCTTTGTCCTGCCAGGCAGGAGCATGTGGCAGGCAAGGTGCATCAACGATTGAACCAGGGCGGAGGGATGGAAAGGAGACGCTGCAGCCCGCCGTCCGGCGACAGCTGCAGCGCCGCCTTGTCCTGCGGAGCAGATGATGCGGGAGGCGCACATGGCACAGGGCAGCGGCGCACATGGCACAGGGCAGCGGCGCACATGGCACAGGGCAGCGGCGCACATGGCACAGGGCAGCGGCGCACATGGCACAGGGCAGCGGCGCACATGGCACAGGGCAGCGGCGCACATGGCACAGGGCAGCGGCGCACATGGCACAGGGCAGCGGCGCACATGGCACAGGGCAGCGGCGCACATCGCACAGGGCAGCGGCGCAGAAGCAAAGAGAAGCTGTGCAGCATGAGGAGGGGCGTCCGAGGGCAGGGGAGACATGGCGCAGTGAATGTGACGGGCATTGGTGGAAACACGAGGGAGAGGGAAGGGAGAGGCGGGCGGCATGAGGCCCAGACGCTGCACGACGTGCTACGTTCCTTCCCGAGGCGGGCGTACCTTTTCGAGGCGGCTCATGATGGAGACGAGCAGCGCGTTCACGGCCGCGCTGCGGTCCTTGCTGGGCACGCGCAGCCCCTTGTCCATGGCGTACAGCCGACCTGCCACGCGCGCGCACTCGACTCGTTAGGTTAACTCTTGTTTCCTTTTGTTTGTCTGATGTTGTTTCATGATCTCTTTCATTGGGAGTTTAACGCGCGTACAGTAGTAAGCGACGAGCGGGTCGTGCTTCTGAAGCTCATCGGCGCGCTGCAGGAACGGCACCAGCGCCTTGCCGTTCGCCAGCTCGTCGCCCGACAGCGACCCCGCCATGCCTGCGACGGCCCGCCGACCAGCTGAGTCAAAAAGATTCCGATCAGGCAGCGGACCGACGCTGGAGTTAAACCCAACCGGATGGTCCTGTCCGTGAGAAACGCTGCTGCTCGTGGCTTCCTGGCAGGTGTGGAACAGCGGGTGAGTGAATTCTTACGTTGCTCAAGGTGAGTCTGTTTCTACGGTGCGTGACAACACTAATACACGCTGCGACGAAGCGAGCAAGCGCTATTGTCGCACTGCCCGCGAGTGGCGGAATGACAGTTTGCTGTGGTGCTCGGCAATTTCTAGGTTGAGTGCCTGCTTGAGTATTTACTTTTCCGCGTTATAGGGCTCGATTGGTTGCACGGGTGCTCGACCCGATACCTTTCAGTAAAAGGGAAGCGAAATCCCAGATGAAACAAGGACGTCAGCATTTTTTAAAACATGACTAAACAGATTCAGCGAATTTCCTAGGACTAACTGTACAGGCCAGATAAGAAAAGAACAGTGGCAAATTCCTACCCTTGCAGTTACCAGTAACCCACCGCTACCCATATGAATAATGTTGTAGATATTGAAGCTATACCCTTTAAAATAAGGCCTGTGTTAGTGGCGCAAAAGAGCCAATATAGGCTGCTGCACATATTCACTGCGTAGGCCACAAGTGTCCCCTCCCCAACAACGCCCTTCATCCTACCATGGGATGCTGTCGGTGCGTGGGGGAGCTGGTGCCGACTTATTAGTGAATGTTGATGAGGTACGGTGCGGTGCGGAGGAGTGTAGTATTCAGCATACTTACTGGCCACTGCCCTTGCCTCTCATGCATTCCAATCCAGCCATGCAGACTCACAGTCCTGCCCATGGCTCCATGGAATCACATCACGCCCATGAGGGCAGGTCCATGGCATCACATCACGCCCATGATACCAGCAGCACGGCTCTTCAAGCCCACGAGGGCAGGTCCATAACGTCCGCGCTGCTCCTGAAGCTCTCTGCCAGCCCTATCAGCTCCTCGTCCTCCTCACACCCCTGCTGCACCTCCCCCTCCCCCTCCCCCTCTAACTCTCCCTCGTCCACTCCCTCTCCAAAGCCCTCTTCCCCTCCTTCTCCCCCACCTGCCAGCTCCTCCCCCCCCGACCCCCCTTGCTCCTCCTCTGCAGACGTCCGGTCCGGGCCGAAGCGAGGCGCGGAAAACAGGTTTGGCAGGGCGGAGGCAGGAGAGGGGGGGTGGGAGAGAGTGGAGGGGAAGGCAGAGGGGAAGGGGGGGGAGGTGAGGCGGTGCAGAGGAGGGCTGAGAGGGGTGCTTGCAGCTGGTGTGGATGAATAAGGGGGAGGTGCTTGAGGTTCAGTCGCGACCCCTCCAACCCTTTCAGCAGCAGCAGCAGCCCCGTGTTCCTCACCTTCCCCTTCCTTGCCTCCCGCCCCTTCCCCTGTCATCCCACCTTTCTCTGCCCCCCCTCCTCCCCCTGTCCCTCCTCCTTCCCCTGAACCCCCTTCCCCCGCACTTCCCCCTTCCCCTGCCCCTCCGCCCGTCGCTGCTGCCCCCCCTGCACCCCCCCCGGCAGCGGTGGCGTGCAGCTTGAGGTGGGCCTGCGCCTCCTGCTGCTGCGCCAGCTCCCTCACGCGCGCCAGCACGGCGGGTGGGATGGACGCCGACACCTGCTTCTTGCGCTGTTCGCCCTGCTGCCCCGCGCGCCATGCCATACCAGGAAAAAGGGGGTGCGGGGGAGGGGGGGGAAGGGGAGGGCGAGGGAGAGGGAGCGGAGGGGAAGGGCAGGGGGTGGCAGGGAGACACAAGGCTGAGGTGTGGAATGTGGGTGTGAAGGAGCAGAGAGGGGAGAAACATGATACTTTGCGGTGGCAGGAAAACCTCGTATCTAGTGTGCATCATACCTCTTTGGGTGGCTGGAGCGCCATCCTGCTTGCACGCAGGAGATTGCGCCACTTGTCCTGCCAGGATTGGATCGCAGACAAAAGAGAGAGAGGAAGGCGACAAAGGTGAGGACGGGAGATGCAGGCTAAGTTTCATCAAGCACACACAGTCTTGCCGAGTCAGCGGGCAGTCAACGGGGTACCTTGAGGTCAACGGCAGTGCGGTAGCCAATGGAGGCGAAGGCGAGCTTCTTGATGTCGGCCCACTTGCCCCCACCGCACCGCGCCACGCCATCCACGAGGATCATCACCTCCCGCAGCGTCCACGGCCGGTGGTGCTTGCGCCGCAGCCCCCCATTCGCCGTGTACATGCGCGCGTCGCCCGCCCCCTCTCCCCCGCTGCCACCACTGCTCACCCCTCCAAAGTCAGAAAATGCAGCCGCTGCTGCTACTGCTGGCGCTCCTGCTAGTCCTGCTCCTGCTGCTGCTGGCCCTGTTGCTGCTGCCACCCCAGTTGCTCCCGAACCAGCTGCCTTCTTCCCCGCCCGCCCAGATGTTCCATGCCTCCGCGCCCCCCCTCCCCCCTCCGCCCGCCCTCCTCCCGCCTTCTTCGACCCCCCCCCACCACCACTTGCAGGAGCAGCAGCTGCTGCCACACTCCCCCTCTCCATCCCATGACGCTGCTGCTGCTGCAGGGAGGGAGGACTCAAGGGTGTACCCGAGGGGCTCATCGGAGCCCCCACCTCGTCCCCACTCTCCCCACTACCCCCTCCTCCCCCCCACTCCCCGCCCCCCGCCTGCCATCCCCCCCAACCCCTCATCTCCCCCTCCTCTCGCCCCACCCCCTACACCCCCAGTGTCCACGAAACCCCCCCCTTGTTGCTTCCCCACGGTTCCACTTGGAAGGGCCCGGGCGGCAAGCCCACAGGAGAGGGCGGCAGGGTGGTCGGCAAGGGCGGCAGGAGGCAGGGGGGTGAGCGCTGGGACAGGGGAGAGGCCGACCATGCTGGAGAGCTCCATCCAGGAAGCTTCCTGCAGCTTGCCGTCCAGAGCACCCCCTAGCAGGCTGACTCCTGGTGGGGTGGCGCCTGGGGGTGATGCTCCTGCCGCTCCTGCCGCTCCTGCCGCTGCCCATCCTGCCAACCCTCCCACTGCTGCTCCTGCTGCCGCTGCTGCTGCTCCTGTCCCCCCCTGTGCTGCTGCTGCTACCGCCCCTTCCTCTCCCTGCGCCCCTTCTCCTCCTCCTCCGCCCGCAGGCGTCCGCGACCACCTTGCCTCGCCCTTTCTGCTGCCACCCTTCCCTCTGCCCCCACCACCCGCCACACCGCCCCCCCGCTGCTGCACCTGCACCTGCTGCTGCTGCTGAGCCAGCAGCTGCCTCTGGGGGGACGTCACGCTGGCTGTTGCTGGTACCGGTGGTGCTGCTGCTGCCGACGATGACAGTGAGGATTTCTTCTTCTGCCAAAGGGAGAGAGGGAAGCACAGCACACAGGAGGGGTTCAGCAAAACGCGTCCTTGGCAAGGTTGAAGCACTCTTTCCTGCCTTCTCAGCCCAAAAGGAACTCACTGACTGCAACCACGACACAGCGCGCCGCATGAACTAAACGAGATTCAACACTGCACCATAACAATACCGTGCGGTTATTGCACTGTCACTCACTTTTGCTGGAGGTCTCTCCTTGGCAGCAGCAACAGCCGCAGCAGCAGCAACCTGTGATGCCATCACTCCTACTCCACCTACCTCCTCCACCCCCCCTGCCCAACCATCCCCACCTCCCCCCCGCTCACCCCCCTCCCCCGCCTCTTCCCCTGCACTGCCCCCAGCAGCCTCCAAGCCGCCCTCGCCCACCCTGCCCCGCTTTGCTCTTCCCCCCACAGCAGCACCACCGTCCCCTTTCCCCACTCCCCTCCCCCCTGCCCTCCCCCTGCCTGCTCCCTTCCCCCCCACCGCTCCTCTCACTTCCCCTTCTGCCCCCCAACCACCACCACCACCACCTGCAGCAGCAGCAGCAGCCACACGAGCAGCAGCAGATTCAGGCATGTTGGCAGCATCGGGCAGAGAGGAAGCGCCCTCCCCCACCTGCTGCCTTCCCCAGGCCATCACGGCTCGTGCCATGCCTGCCACGTCAGCATCCACAGTAAATCCTAATGTGGCAGCATAGTCCCCACTCTGACCTCCCACGCCCAACCCTCCTCCTCCCCCTCCTCCTCCCCTTCCAGCTGCTGCCACGTCAGCACCAGTGGGATGCCAGTCCATGTCTGGTTCAGAGGGCTGCCCCTCCTCCCCTTCGATATAGTCACCCTCGTATTGGAACCCCCCCTCATAGTACCTCGAGTTAAGCACCCTCTTCCTGCGGCTCCTCTCACTCACTCCTTTCTCTGGCACCTTCTCACTCCCTCCTCTCTCATCCCCTCCTCTCCCACTCACTCCCGCTGCTCCTGTTGCTGCTTGCGCTTCTCTGCTAGCCTCCTCCATTCTCCCCTCGCTTTTCCCACCGCCCCCACCAACACCACTTTCTAATCCACTCCCATTACCAGCTGTAACTGCTGCATCACCAGGCAGAGCATTTGCCTGTCCAGCTGTAGCAGCTGTAGCATCTGTAGCACTGCGGTCAGGTGCAGCTGTAGCAGCTGCTTTCCCAGCAGCAGGAACTGAGTCACCAGCTGTAGCGCCAGCTGCAACCGGTGCTGCTTTCTTCCCGTGTGCCCCTGCCCCTGCTTCTCGCCCTTTCCCCTTCCCTCCCTTCCCACTGCTTCCACCCGCGCCTCCTCCTCGCTTCCCCTTCCCTTTGCTGCCACCACTGCCAGCATTGGCACCAGCAGCAGCAGGAGCAATATTGGCAGTGGCAGCAGAAACAGCAACGGCAGGAGGCAGAGGGGCGGGCTGGCCGCGGAGAGGGCTGGAGAGTGGGCTGGCGCTGATGACGTGGTTGGGACTGGCGCGCGCAGCAGCAGTGGCAGTAGCAAGGGCAGCAGTAGCAGGGGCAGCAGGGGCAGCAGGAGCAAGCGCAGGTGCAGGAGTGGGAGCAGGAGCAAGCGCAGGTGCAGGAGTGGGAGCAGGAGCAAGCGGTGGAGAAGAAAGAGGGGAGCGTGAGAAAGCAGGGGCAGATGAGAAGGCAGCAGCAGCAGGGGTTGTAAAGGGGAAGGCCACAGGTGCACGGAGAGGGCTAGTGACAGGGCTGCTCCCTTGCACTCCCACACCCGTGGGCACACCCACACCTGGTGCCATTCCCATGCCCCACCCTGCACCACTACTACTGCCTGCACCCCCCTCCAACTGCTGCTGCTGCTGCTGCTGCTGCTGCTGCTGAAGCTGTCGCTGGTCCCAGCCAAGTGAGAATCCATGTGACCCCACGGCACCTCCCCCTGCTACTCCTGATGCACCTACTCCTCCACCTACTCCCCCTCCTGCTCCCCCCGCCCCTGCTCCCCCTGCTGCTGCCAGTCGTTCCTCCTGCTGCCGAGCCAGAAGCTGAACCAGCAGCTGGGGTCGCTCCAGCAGCGTGGCAGCTGCCACAGCAGCACCCCGAGATTGCAGCACCTGCTGCCACACCTGCTGCAGCACCGCCTCGCTCAGCATGCTCTGCACCTGCTGAGCCCCTGCTCCCGCCTCCTCTGCCTGCTGCTGCACCTGCTGCTGTGCTTGCTGCTGCTGTTGAAGCGGCTGTTGCTGCTGATACTGTAGTTGCTGCTGTTGCTGCTGCGGTTGCTGCTGCTGTTCTTGTTGCTGTTGTTGTGACGGTTGTGGTTGTTGCAGCGGCTGTTGTGGCTGCTGCACTTGCTGTGGTTGCTGCGGTTGATGTTGTGGCAGTTGCTGCTGTTGCTGCTGTTGCTCCAGCGCCCTCTGCTGCTGCTGCAGCAGCACCTGTTGCTGCCACGCGCCTGCCAGTCCAAACTGCTGCTGCCGCTGCAGCTCTTGCTGCGCCTGCCGCTCCATCTCCTCCTCCAGCTGCTGCTGCTGCCGCCGCCGCTGCTCCAGCTGCTTTTGCTGCATCTGCTGCCGCTTCTGCTGCAGCCGCTGCTGCCTCTGCTTCTCCTTCAGCACTCGCTGCTGCTGCTGCTCCTCCTCCTCCTGCCCCTGTCCGTCACGCTGTCTGCTTCGCACTTCCTTTTGGCCCTCTTCGTTCTCCTTACCTCTCACCACCTCCCTAGCCCCCTTGTCTCGCTGCTCCACCTGCTTCCGTTCGTCCTCTTGCTGCCTTCCATACTCTTGCTGCGTCTCCTGCACCTGCTGCCTCTCTGCCCCCTGCCCTTCTGCCGCATCTTGCCTCTGCGTCCCCTCCGTCTCCTCCCCACCTTGCTGCTGTTCTCTCAGCTCGCCTACTTGCGCCTTCCCTCGTGCCTCTTCACTCCAACCAGCATCACCGCCCAAGCCTGGACTCGTTTCAGCAATCTGCTGCGCTGCAGGCAGCTGCGCGGTTGGTAACACATTACAAGTAGGGGACGGTGCAGGAGTGTGAGCCGTGGTGTGTGCAGGAGTGTGAGCCGTGGTGTGTGCAGGAGTGTGAGCCGTGGTGTGTGCAGGAGTGTGAGCCGTGGTGTGTGCAGGAGTGTGAGCCGTGGTGTGTGCAGGAGTGTGTGCAGGAGCGGGGTCACCAGCACGCGCATCTGTCAACAAGTGCTGCGGACTGCTGCCCGCCGGCCCCTTTTGCTCACCACCCCCAAATCTTCCACTGCCGCCACCAACCCTCTCAACGCCTCCGTCCTCAGCCGACCCTCTGCCGCTCCACTCACGCCCCTGCCTCCCTGCCTGCCCTTCCTTCCACCCAGGCGTCTGCCTGCTCGCCTGCTGCTCCTCATGCGCCTGCTGCCCTGCCTGTCCAGCTTTCACTCGTCGCCTCTGTCCCCCTGCGTGCTGCTGCTCGCCTGTCATCCGTCCCTTGTGTTGCCTGACCACTTCAACCCTCCCGACTCCCTCCCTCTCCACTCCCTCTCTCTCCACTCTCTCCCCCTGTAGTGTCTCTCTCTGCACTCCATTCCTCGCCAGAAGCTCAACACACGGCCCCGACTTGCCCTCGCCTTGCCTTACCCTATCTGCAGCAGCTTTAGCCACGTCGGCGTGTGCCACGTCAGCCTGTGCCACCTGTACATGTGCAACGGCACCTGCTTGTGCCTCTGCCTCACCTGCTCCACCTGCACGTGTCTGGTTCCTATCATCTGTCAGCTCCTCAGTATGCGTCAGTGCCTGTAACTGTACATGCGTTGCATCTACCGTTTCATCTACCATCTGTGAGTCTTCCACATCACCATCTCTAGTTATCCCCACTTTCTTAACCGCGTCTTCTGCCTTCGTACCAAGAGCACGCCCATGCCCATCCACCAAATGCCTCTCATCACCCACACACTCCACCTGCCGCCCTGTCATGCCCGCTCTCCTCTGCACCTGCTCTTCCTGCTCCCCTTCCCCCACATGCCTCTGTCTCGCCCCCTCAGCTGCAGCGCCACCAGCCATCCGCCTACTCCCATCGCCCCGCTCCTCCTCACCTGCCTCTGCCAAACGCATCTTCCCCTCCCCTTCCTCCTCCTCTTCCCCTGCCCTCCCCGCACTCATTGCGCTGCCCCCTGTTGCCGCCATGCTGTCCGCTCTGCCCGCCACCCCTCCTACACTCTCCGCCATCACTGCAACTTCGCCTCCCGTGATCTCGCCCACCTCCTGCATCCTTGCTCTTCCTCCTTCCACTTCTTCCACTCCTTCCTTCCCTGCTTCTCCCTCGTCTCTTCCCGCCCTGGCCGCGCCCATCTCTCCGTCCTCAGCCTTTCCCACAACAGCGGCACCAGGGACTGCCAGGGCCCCACCTTGGGACGGCATGCGCTCCTCCTCTGCCTCTCGCCACCCCTCCCGAACCGGCGCTTGCTCCCCCTGTGTTTGCCGAACCTGTTTCCGCCGAGCCTCAGCCTGCCGAACCTGCTGCTGCATGCGCTGGCGCTCCTCCCACTGCTTCTGAATCATCTGCCGTCGCTGCAGCCTCAGCTGCCTTGACACCGAAGGGGCCACAGCCCCGCTCACGCCCTCCCTTTCACCCACTCTCCCTTGCTCTACCTCACTTGCCCCTTCGCCTGCCTCACCCCTGCCCCTACTTTCCCCTTCCATCCCATTTCGCCCGGCACTGATCTCTTGCACCTCCCTCGCTCCTTCTGACTGCCCTCTCTCCTCCCCCACTCTCTCCTCCTCTGCTCCCTTCCCTTCCCTCAGGTCACTCGCCCAGCCAGTTTCTTCTTCCTCTCCTGCTTCTGTTTCTCCACCCACACGGCTTTTCAACCTAGCTTCTCCAACCGCCCCTTTCTCCCTACTCCTCGCCCTTCTCCCGGGCACATCCCTTCCCAGCCGCCCCTCCACCTTCCACCTGCCCCGCCCTCTGCCTCTGCCTCTTCCTCGTCCCGCCCTCACGCCCTTTCCACGTGCGACCCTGCTCCCTGCCTCCTTCCACTCCCCTGCTCCAGCGCCGTCCACAGACGCACGCGCATCCGCAGCAGCGCTGGCAGCGGCAGCACCACCGTCTGCGTGTGCACCCACTGCAGCATCTTCGGCATAATCAGCCCCTGAAGCACCAGAGTCGTCCGCGTCATCACTCATTCGCTCTGATCTCGCCTCGTCTCCTCCACCCTCCCCTGCACCATCTGCTACTATATACTCACCCCCCTCCCGCACTCCCTCCCCAATTCCATCTGCCTCTTCAGCCTCTCCTCGTCCCTCCCCCTCCCGCTTCACTCTCCCTTCCCCCATTGCCCGCCACCCAGACTGCAATCTCCGCCTCTTTCCTCCCCCTCTCCCCCGCTCCGTAGCCTCTCCGCCCTGTTGCGCCACCTGATGCGCCTCACTCCCACTCCGCGCGCCCCTTCCCGCGGATGCCTCCGCAGCAGGAGCAGCAGACACGCCTGCAACCGCCGCTCCCCCTCCTGCTGCAGCAGCAGCGCCACTCACTGCCGCAGCCACAGTGGCAGTCTCAAAAGACACCTCCCCCGGCTCTACCTTGGCCTGCAGCGCTGCTGCCTGCCGCCCACCGCCCCGCCGCGCACTCACTCTCCTCCCCCTGCCCTCCTCCGCCGGCTGCGCCCCCCCTTGCGCCCCTCTAGCCAGTGCAACGGGGGAAGCAGGGGCGGAAACAATGGGGGAGGAGCGGAGATGGCGCGGGCTGGACGGGTGTGGGGCAGCGCCAAGGAGTGCGCTTGCTGAGGCGCGCCCACTGGCGCCATTCCCCCCCGTTGTGGACTGCCCCATAGCTGCCCGGCCCACCTCAGCAGGCGGATCAGCGGCTGTGGCAGCAGGTGGTCGTTGACTGCGTTGACTCCGTTGACCCGTCTGCCCAGCTTGACCTATTTGACCTGCATGACCTCGTCTGCTGCGAGGCCGAGTGGGCCATCCACCAGAACCTAACCTCTCCCACGCTCCTCCCTCTAACCCTAACCCTAACCCTAGCCCGTGCCCCCCTAGCCCGGCTTCTTGACCATCTCGCTCCAATCCATCTGCTCCTTCCTCCGTCCCCCCTACTGCCCCGCCGTGCGCCCCTGCTTCCCCCGCTGACAGAGCATGCGCAGCCCCCCAACCCCTCCGCACCACCTCCTCGTCCGTCCCCCGTCCCCCCATCCGCATCCTGCTGCGGCGCCCCACCCTCGCCCTTCCCCCAGCGCTGGCTCCCTCCCCCTCCTCCCTCTCCTCCCCCGCCCCCTGTGCTCCGCCATCCGCCCCTTGCTCCTCCCCCGCCCCCATAACTATTGCGCCGGCTGCAGTGGGCGTCCCCAACGCGTCCCCGTCAGCAGCGCGCCGAGCCATTCCCACGCCCCTACCTCTCCCCCTCCTCCCCCGCACCCCGCCCAGAGCTCCCCTTGGCCGCCCCACCCGCCCATGAGCGGGAAAGGAGCGCGGGGCGGAGAGGAAGGGGGGATGGTGCTGATCATGGGCTGGATGGTGGGATGGGGGGAGCGGAGGGGGGAGAGAGTCAGGGGCGGAGAGGTCGGCGCGGGGATGGTGTTGGGGGGTTGCACTACTCTGCCCCACTGCGAGCTCGTGGTGCGAAATCTCCGTCAGGAGAAAATCCAGAAACTCTTGACGCGCGTGCACACCTGTCCTCGTCTCATTGGCTGCCGGAGCAAGCACTCCGTTAACAGCCCCACGGGGATTCGATTGACTCGAGCGGCCGTCCCGCCCACTCTTCGCGTCATCCAGCCCGAACCCTAGTTCCGCCTTCACGCCTCTCCCTATCCGCCCTTCCCCTCGTTCCTGCCCTCTGGCCAATAGCGACCTGCCACGTGGCTGCCCAGTTCCTATCACTCCCACCTCCCCGCTCCGCCAGAGAAGTGGCGGCGACGGCAGGGGGGGCTCGTCCGCGCCGCCTTCCTCCGCCAACCCTAATCCTTCCCCCAATGGCCATTCCGCCATGTCCGCCTCCCCCGCAGCCCCCAGCGCTCCGGGCGGCAGGGGCAGGGCGAGCGCGTCGGGCGCATGGCGGAGCATCCACGCCTGGAGCTCCTCCAGCTCGCGCTCCGATATGGGCACGGCGTCAAGAAAGTCAACGGAGTCAACGGGGTCAACCGGGTCCACCCTGCACAGCCTGTACACAACCTGCTCGCCGTCGCCCTCGCCCCATTCGCCCTCCAACGCAACCACGTGCGTGCCATCCTGCACGTGTCTGCTCGCCTCAGCAATCCCCTCCTGCTGATTCTGACAGCCTGTGCTCGACAGCCCCTGCTCCTGCTTCACTCTCCCCTCCTCTTCCCTTTCTTCCTGCACCTGCTTCTGCCTACTGTTATCTCCCGCCTCCTCCCGCTCCTCCCCTTCCTTCGCCTCTTCCCCTTCCCCCACCACCCACTCCTGTTCCTCCTCCTTTATTTCCACGCTCCTCGCTTCCCCACCGTCGCCACAACCTCTCTCCGCTACACTCATCCCCTCTAACATCACATCCCCTGCTACAGCCGGTACCATCTCCCCAGAATGCTCCTCGCGCTGCCTCCCACCCTCGCAACCCGCGGGCTCCTGACCCTGCTGCTCCGACGACTGCCTAAGCACCGCCGTACCCTCTCTCTCGGCTCTCACCGCTCTCTCAATCAACTTCGCGCCTCGGTCTCTTGACAACTTCTTTCTGATTGGCTGACGCTGGTGTTGATTCTGCAGCGCCTGCGGCGGCAGAAGCGGCTGCTGGTTGGCTCCAGAGGCTACCGGGAGAGCCATCTCCATGGCGCTTGGCCTGTCTCCGTCGCTGCCACGCTGACATCAGCACACATGCCCTGACCCTGACATAACTGTCTCGTCTCGTCAAGCACTGGAGTCACAGAGCTATGCTACGCCAAGGCGATCGGCGGGCTACGGGGAAGCGGTGAGCGCGAGAAACGTGCGATGAAAGTCACGGGCTAACGATTTTTTTTACCAAGACTCGATTTCGCGCAGCGACGCACGACAGTGATTGGTTAGGAGACCGGAAAGCGTAGGGCCACGAGCGTGAGCGACGGGACGGACGGACGACGGGAGGGAGCTGACGAGACGTCCCACAGCACACAACGGTGCGATGGCGGTTCACAGGGGACTAGGGGTCCGCGGTCCAAGGAACGCAAGGCACGGTCTATGGCAAGTTAGAATTAGATGGTACGTTATAGGGCGCCTTGAGAAAACACAGAGAGTAACGCGCGCAAATTACCAACCCGTCGGCTTAACACGATGCAGGAGTAGGTGGTGTGGAACAGTGCGGGTAACGGATATGTTATTGCGCGGATAAGAAAAAGCAAGAAGCTAATAGGTACAGTAGAAATGCTATTCGCCTGCTGCTTCGACCGACAAGCGGTGTGCGCTTTACTCGGATAGACGTCGAAGCGTAAACTGCGAGTTTGCGCGTGCAGGCTTGGAAATTTCTAAACTGAAACACGGACGCTTCCTAAGACTAGGCCGAATTCCAGAGCGACGACAATAAACAGTGACACGTTGCGACCCGAAAATAGCCAGCCTGAAATATTGGCGATAGTAAGAACGAAGCATTGTCTCGTAGCGCACGAGGAGCATTTATACGGCCTAGATTCTCTTGTGAGCTCCTCTCCTGGTGCAGCGGCCTCACGTTGTGTGTTGCTGGCGTGGCCAATAACTAGCTCATCGCGGCTTGCGCTTGAGAGCTCACTACACGCTAACGACTTGTCTCGGGCGGGAAGCAGAAATGGGGACCTGGGTAGGGCGAGTGCCTGGCTTGATGCCTCGGGATTGCCGCAGTCCCATCAGCTGCACCAAATCGCCTCGAGAGTCTCCAGCCCGCTGAGCTATTTTCGGCTGGGGCCAGCGGAGGCCGACGCTAGTTCAGGAGCGTCCTTGTCCCACCCCGTTGCGCATCGCATGCAGCAAAGCAGCTGCTCGGGTCAGGTCTGGTCAGTTCAAACTTCCGAACTCAAAATTTTACAAGGAAGAAATAGGTGCGTCCTGCCCGAATGCTTGCGCAATTTTTGGGGGGGTTCAGCTTTGGAAACACCAACCTCCTAGTTGTCACATTACGTGGCTGCACCTGACGGGCTATTGACTTTATGCCAAATCCGCAACAGTGGCGGGATTCCACGTCGTCCGCCTTGCCGAAGCTGAGTCCACTCTGCCAAATCTATCGCCAGCTCCGGCGTCAGGCGACAGGTCTGCTCTGGCTTGAATGACGATGGAAGGATAATTCTCCAAAGGTACGACATAAAATAGGACAAAACAAAATTGATCGCTTAGCTCATGTTGTAGGTTAACCAGGTTGGGAAAGCTAATTGCCTAGTTTCGACATCCCCATCAACTACAGCACATGCTACTCTTACAATTGAGTCCACACTCTCGAAATCCAACGAAGGGTTTTTTGGAAGCACAGAAATTGTTCTGGCATTCCACAGCTGAACAAACAGCCCTCCCCATATCTCCGAACCTCACAATTCGGCAGCCTTGGACCCACAGCCACGTAACCAGATGGTTGTGAGAACAAATCATAGGCACGGCAAGGACCAGGGCATGACTGACGTACCAGTATCCTTCTCAGACACTGGCAACAGTTGGTGTTTGTACACGGTAGCAGCACATCTTTCAGCACAGGCTCAAAAAAGTATCCAGAACAACATGCTGCACTTAGCCTATGAAAGCAATGGGTAAGGTATAGGTACATGGCATTCAGTTCAGAGCCATGCAAGATGTTGCAGTGAGATATATAACACAGGGACAAACACACAACCAGGCTGAACATTAATACATCTTCTGCCACCACTGTCCACTCAGAATGTTCGATGCTCCAATTTAATCCAGGAAAAGAGATTATCATCACGAACGTGATGTACTCGAACATTTTCCTTGGTGATTATTGAGCAACAATCCACAATACATTCTAAGCTATTTACAATCAATCACAGCAAGCAATAACACTTCTATGGCAGCAAAATGATGTCATCTGCAATAAACACATGAATCATCCATCTTCAGAGGAGCATAGAGAGGTAGATCATAGAAAGAGGGGATGTGCGGGAAAACATATCCAATGATACTTCACCTGCATGAATCAAGTTTGCATCTTGGATGTTGTTGATCTGCATAATTGCATCCACTGTTGTTCCATGCATACGCGCTATGGCATACAGAGTGTCACCCTGCACATGCACAGTTCCATATCCACAGCTGTAGGGTCACCATGTAATGTGAGAGACACTTTTTGGCGCCATAGCTGAACTACGGCTGTGAACATCAAAGCCAAAGTATGCAGAATACAGTGTGTGAAAAGCACATACCACTTGCATTGCGCATGCGTGTGCAGAGCAAACCTTTTCAAGGGTGTGTGTGCGTTAACACACCTTGGCGATGGTGTATGTGCGCGGAACCCAGAGGCTCTGGCCGGGGTGCAAGAGGTCTGAGCGGAGTGCATTGGCCTGGTAGCACTCCATGGGAAGCATCGGTGAGCACAGTCATGGGAGTAATAAAATTGACAACAAAAGCTAACAGGGGACATGGTGAAAGAGGCAGAGAGCACAGTTTTTGCTTTGCTAGCACCCTCTCTTCTCGACCCCAACAGACCAGACCAGCACGTCGTCACCTGCATGAGGATCTCCACGGTGCTTCCCAGCTGGCCGGCAATCTTTGTCAGGTTATCGCCAGGCTGCACGTCGTAGTACGACCTCCCCCCCTCGTGGCGCAGAGGCAGAGCTGCGGCGGAGCAAGAAGGAAAGGTAAAAGTGCAGTGACGAGAGGTGGGAAAACAGCTGCTCAATCTCTGCTCACTCACCAACTCATTCACCCCCTCCCACTCCCCGCTTCCTCACTCTCCTCACCACAAGTTCCCATCCGCCCACCTTGCTGCTTGTCGGAAGAGCCGAAGGGCCACATGATGTCGTCCCGCTGCGGCTGCTCCCCACTCCTCGACTCTCTCGTCCGCCTCCAAGACCGCTTCGACAAGCCGCTGAGCCCACGGAAATTAGAACAGAGAGGTCGATAGTATTTTATGCTAATGGTTTATCTAGATTACTGCTTGTTAGGAAGTCGAACGAACTGGGAAGGACTTTGACCGAGGAGGTGAACGTGCGAAGCGAGACGGTGCGGCGAACGGTAGGCGTGCTCTGACAGAAAATGGATTTAGACCGATTGAACAGATGAGACAGATGCGACGGACGCGACGGTTAGCCTCACGCCACAGTGTCTCCCAAGGTCTGCTCTAGTGGACTACAAGCGGCCCGCGAGGGACGTGCCAGTCAGCGGCTGATTTGCGAACAGCTGATCGAGCCCGTTTCATGAAAACATGCCGTACAGTCACAGAGCGGCAGCTCTGGTGTCATCCCTGGTGCTCGAAACAGAGTGACTGGTGGTGATGTTCACGCCTTGAAGTTGGAATTCTTGGAGGGAGGGGGAAACCACGGCCCACCGCTCTTCATTGCTCGGAAACGAGTTCGTTCTTGAAGGTTTTAGCTTTGCGGTGTTTCCAGTATTTGCACATCACAAGTTCAGATAATGCTGATTATTGTTAGAACAGCTAGTGAACAACAGTACAAGAACATGATTCCTAAGCATGATCCCCCATTCCCCTAGCTTTCAGAAACTTCCTTTTGTTATGGCAAGTCTTTATAAAACCATCTCCTGGTTCGCCCCCCACTTCCTTACTCAGCCCTTCAGCAGCATCCAGCACATACAGCACACATTCCTCGCCATCCCACCCCTCAAACCGCTGCAGGCTTCTGCATCCAGGTAACAGGTGAGACAATAATTTCCTCCCATTGTCCTGATCGGCATCTCCATTTCCAGCATCCGAATGACTGCCTTCCTCTGCCAATGTCAAACAACCTCCAGCTTCTAAGCCTATCTCACCTTGTCCTCTCGATGTGCCATCCCCTCCATGGCTCCTCGTTTCCAAGCTTTCCCCCCCATCGCGTGCTCCCAACCCACTCTCAAGAAACCCAACTGCCTCGCTCCCAATACTAGAGAAAAACATCCCCTCCAAGTCACATGGCCAGAGCTCACCCGAGCGAAACACCGACAGAGGTACAGGGCCCCAGCCTACAGCGTGGAGACAACACAGGCCGTGCCAAACACTCAGATCCAGCGACCGGAAATCCATAGGGCATCTCCACTCTAGGACCTTGACGGTCTCTATCACACCCGGCGGAAAGCATGCCACCTGCTCTGGATCCATGTCGGTGCAGAGGGAGTGGAGCGAGGTGAGGTGAGGTGCATGCAACGCCCAGGGACAGGTCGGGTCTGTGGTAAGGAAGAGAGATGAGAGGTGCGTGGGGCAGGTGGGGAGCAGGAGCAGGCGGGAGTGGCGGCACTGCCATCGAAACTTGAGGGAGGAGAGGCGAGGGGCGGAGAGCGAGATAGAGCATTTGAGACAACCGAGTCTGACATCAGTGGCCAGCGGGAGGTGAAGAGAGAAGGGCGTTCGTCCGTCCACGTCCCTCTCCCGTGGGTCCTCGCCGATTTCAGGGCCCTCTTCGCCCTCCTGTGCCGCAAACTGATCGTCAGCCGCGAGATCAAGAGAGTGAAGCTGCGAGGAGAGGCAGGCGACGAAGCAGAGGACGAGAGGCGAGCACGCGGAGAGGGAGAGGTCGAGGCGACACAACACGGGAAACAGCCTGGCCGTGTCATCCGGGTTCTTCTCCTCCATGATTGAAACCATTTCCCACATTTCGGCCACCATCACGGGATCATTGCACTGGTGATTTGGAGCCGCGCTCTCGCTGTCCGCTGCACCGCAATGCTGAATAAAAAGCGACTCGAGGCGCGGCGCTTGCGAGAGGGAGAAGAGGAGGCGCGGATGGGAGGGGAGGCTTCGGGGGAGATAGAGATCGAAGGAGGTGATGGTGGAGAGGGAGGGGAAGAGGCAGGAGCGCATGAGGGAGGAGACGAGGCGGGGAGGCGCTTCATTGATAGCGATAATGAAATCCAAAGGGCTTTTGTGCTGCTTGGTCAGCCATGCGAAGCTGCGGATTCGCTGAGCGAGGGAGACGGCGGGGGGCGGACACTGACAGTCTTCTTCGAAGCAAAGAGGCTCGTTGCTCGCTGATAATGCGCGTCGCACGCACGGCATGGCGATGGCGCACGGCAGGAGCGGCCACGAGCAGACGCACTCTTCTCTCTCCGCCGCTGCATTTGCGATGCGCACCCACACGTCGGCGGGTACGGCGCTCAGGTCCGCGGAACAAGTTTCCGCCACGGGCGGAGGGGTGATGGAAGACGGCTCTTCCTCTACTCGTTCCTCCTCCTCCCCTTGCTTAGCCTCCACCATCACCCCTTCTACTTCTTCCTGCTCACACAAATTAGTCTTCCTCATCCTGCTCTGTGCCTTTCTCCAGCGAGCGGTAAACTCGCCACCAGCCGCGTCACACCAGCGAAGTATATCGCCTATGGTTACTACCGTTCAAGGGATAAAATATCCCAACCTTAGGGGCGTGTTACATGTTTCATTTTTTCGTCCGGACAGCCAACCGTCCGGACAGATGTGTGGTTACAGAACTCGTTAAGTCTGAGCAGGGAGTTCGTCAGGGTCTAAACGACGTCGTATGCTTCGTACAGCTTCCTTACGACATCTCATCGGTCGCATAATGACCGTGCGACGTCGCAATCTTCGCACGCGTCCGGACAACCGTCCAGACTTTCAGTGACTTCGAAAAATTTAGCACGCCCTTATCTTCCTGTGCTGGATAGGAGAGGACCCTCGTCATGTACACGTGCTGCGGACTTCAAGCAGAAGGACGGACGTGTGCCCGACTCGTCCGACTCGTCAAAAGTTCAGATGTTGATTATTGTGGGAACCGCTACAATAAAAACAGTGCAGCTCATATCCCATAAAACATAATTAAAAAAACGCATGTTCATACCAAAACAATTTGCCATACATTCCCATTGCAGATTTAAACAGTTCCACCAAGAATGGTTGCTAAGCTTAAACCAGCATTCCTCTAGCTCTTGAAAACTTCCGTTTGTGACGACAAGTCTTCGTAAAACCATCTCCTGGTTCGCCCCCCATTTTCTTCAGCCCTTTAGCAGCATCCAACACGTACAGCACACACCCCCCATCGTCCCACCCCTCAAACCGCTGCAGGCTCTTGCATTTAGGTAGCAGTCGAGCCAATAATCTCTTCCCATTCTTCTGATCCATATGCCCGTTTCCAGCATCCACATGCCTGCCTTTCTCCGCCACTGTCGAACAACCTCCTGCTTCCAAGCCTATCTCACCTCGGCCTCTCGACGTGCCCTTTCCTCCATGGCTCCTCGTTCCGAAGCTTTCCCCACTATCGCCCCTTCTCAAACCTCTCTCAAAGAACCCCACAAGTTCACGCCCAACACTAGAGAAAAACATCCCTTCCAAGTCACACGGCCAGAGCTCACCCGAGCGAAAGACCGACAGAGGTACAGGGCCCCAGCCTACAGCGTGGAGACAGCGCAGGCCGAGCCAAGCACTCAGATCCAGCGACCGAAAATCCATAGGATATCTCCACTCTAGAACCTTTACGGTCGCTATCACACCAGGCGGGAGGCATGCCGCCTGCTCTGGATGCATGTTGGTGCAAAGGGACTCAAGCGACGTGAGGTGAGGCGCGTGCAACCCCCAGGGGCAGGCCCACTTGGTATTAAGGAAGAGAGCTGTCAGGTGCGCAGGGCAGGTGGGGAGCAGGAGCAGGCGGGAGTGGCGGGTATGCCAGTAAAACCCGAGGTCGGAGAGACGAGGGGCGGAGAGCGAGATGGAGCAGTTGATCTTGTCCAATATGACATCAGTGGCTAGTGGGAGGTCTAAAGAATAAGTAATTCCTCCGTGCATGTCCCTCTCACGCCCCCTCCACCCGTCCGCGTTCCCCGTACCGTTTTCAGCGCCCTCTTCGCCCTCCTGAGCAGCAAAGTGATTTGCAGAGGCGACGAGGTAGAGGGTGTGAAGCTGGGCAGATAGGCAGGAGATGAAGCGGAGGACGAGAGGCGAGCAGACGGGGAGCGAAAGATCGAGGCGAGACAACACAGGAAATGGCCTGTCCGTGTCATCCTGACTTTTGTCCTCCATGACTGAAATCAGCTCCCACATCTGCGCCACCAGCACTGAGTCATTTCCGCCATGCCGCGCCACCTCATGCATTCCGCCTGCCGTCCATTCGATGGCATGGATAAGAGTAAGCGACTCGAGGCGCGGCGCTTGAGAGAGGGAGAAGAGAAGGCACGGCGGGGAGGGGAGGCGTCGGGAGAAGTCGAGATCGACAGAAGTGAGGGAGGAGAGGCAAGGGATAAGGCAGGAGTGTAAGAGGGAGCAAAAGAGTCGGGGAGGTGCAGTTTCGAGAGATATGTAGAGCTCGGACGGGCGAGGGTGATGCTTCGTCAGCCATGCGAAGCTGCGAATTCGTTGCGCGAGGGAGATGGGGGGAGTTGAGCACGGGCATTCCTCGTAAAACTTGAGAGCCATGTCGTCCGATAGTGCGCGTCGAATGCACGGCATGGCGATGGCGCACGACACGAGCGGCCATGAGCAGAAGCACTTTCCTCTGTTCGAGTTCGCGACCGCGTTTGCGATGCGTCGCCACACGTCCATGGGTAGCGCGTTGAGGTCACCGTACCGACTCTCCGCCTCGGCCTGGCTGTCGAGGGGTCGCTGCGGCACTGCTGCATGCACCCCGCGTTTCGATCGCTTCGCGCGGGAAGAGGGGACAATGGACGGCTCCTCCGCTACTCGCTCCTCCTCCTCACCTTTCTCAGCCGCCTCTCCCTCCTCTTCTACTCTTTCGACCAACTGCTCACAGACACTAGCACTCCCCCTCGTAGTCATTCCGTTCCGGCTGTTTTTCCCGCCGCACCACCAGCCGCGTCACACCAGCGATGCTAATTGTCAATAACTATCGGTCATAATGGGTCGATTTTCCTGATTCTTCTTCGTCTGCTGGAAAAAAGGTTCCCCTCCCGCTTGAATGGTACGACAGCTGAATCACTTCAAACAGTTGGAACATGGTGAGAAAATGGTTTGTCAGAAATGGTGAGGAAGTGCGTCCTGTCCTCTAGCCCCCTGGTCTGGCTGAGATCACGGTTTCGAAGTTTGCCCGCCTTCCTGTGCTACGATGATGTTAGGGCGAACCATTTTGCATTTTTAGATTTTGACGTACCGTCCGACTATATGGAATCGGACTGTACGTTTATAACGAAACGGACTGTCCGATTTGAATGTTTGCAACTTCGGACTGTCCGAAGGCAGATGTGACACTTTTTCCACTTGCTACGGTTTCGCGATGGTTTTCCCTTCGCCATCTCAAATGTACACCAGTAACGCCAGTCACAACCCATCGCAATTTTCGCCAGTTGAGTTCAGCGCTTCGGACAAACATAGTAAATGTCAAACAAGCACAAAGGCCGTCCTAACCAAGCCCATTCAATGTCAGAAGGACCAGGTATCTGGGACTCTTGTGTTTCGGGAACAGCTGTGGCAGGAGTGGTAGTATCGGTAGAGCCTGGTGGCGGGGATTTGGGAGTGGTGTTGTCAGACTGGGTGTTCTGGGCGTAGCTAGAGGGATCCATTGTGCAGAGAAGTGAGTAGTGATGAGTAGTGGGTCAATGTCGTGGCTTCTTGTATTGTAGTATGGCTAGTTGTGATTGGTCAATGTCAATCTTTGTATCCGAATCGCATTTTTTCATGTTTTGGCGAGGCGGTTCGCTGAAATTCAATTTCGCCCGCCAATCGCGTGCGCGGACAGGCGGACAGTCCGTTTGTGATTCGGACAGTCCCATGTCAGAGTTTCGTGTCGTTGGAAAGCGGAAAAAGTGTCATGACAGTTCGAATTTTTAGCGACGTCGCAAACGTCCTCGCGAAGAACTGAACGACCATAAACGAAAATGGTAACCTTTCGCCACGACGAACGGTCCACGGTTCGTTCCGTCGGGTGCAAAAAAGTTACGCGCCCTCAGTGCAATTGCGAGGGAACCTTGTTGGGTTGCTGTGTCAGTGCGATGCGACTCGTGGTGGCTTTTCACCAGGTGGGTGTGATTGCACGTACACCATTCACTGTAGTGACACAATAAACGGATATACGAATTTTCATGCTGGTAACATACCTAGTATGACTTCAAATCTATTCTTCACAAACCAGTACACATCTCTATTTATTGCATTATTCCACAATCTACATGCAGATTCCAGCACATCTAATCCACGACGATCCCTCTCGCTTTTAGAAACCTACTTTTGTTCGCCCAACACACTCCTCTTGCACTTCCATACACTTTCCTAAGCAGTCCTTCAGTAGCATCCAGCCTATACAGCACACGATCACCAGGGCTGATTTTATTAGGGTAATTACCCTGATTTCAAGGTGATTTCAGACTTGTCACATTCTGGTCCCTGTAATTTCAGGTTTAACGTCTTCTGAACACTGATCTTGTCAGAGTAGTACTTTAGCGAACCCTGGAATTTTCTATACACTCACAGAGTAGTGTTCTTAAGGACCCTGTCCATACAGAGTATGCGTCTTGTTGACCCTGAATGCAACGTTATCGGGAAGAAGCTTCCAGGAATCTTCGTCCCGATAACCCACATGTGCGTAATCATGATTACGCTTGCTCCCATCTCAGAGACTCCATTCGCGCTATCCAGGTTATCGCAGTACACTACTTTTCTGTTAGAATGACTAACCATTCGATTTCTGATTTTGGTTATCTGTAAACTTAAACCAAGAAAACAATTCACGATCTGGCGGATCGCAAAGTGATTCGGCAGGAGATAAAAGAAAACCATCCGTAGTGAAACACCGTATTGCCACGCGACATAGTTTTTAGTAATCAACTGTTTTTTCGCTAACTTTGGAAAAACATGTGTACATCAGAATAATTGTGAAACTAAACGAGACACTAATATTGAAAAACGTCCCCCCCCCCCCACAACCCCCCCCCACCAAAACCAGGTCGAGTCTCGACACCCCTCCCATGAGCAGTCCGTTCCCCCATTTCCTGCCCCCCGTCTCCCCCTTTTGTGCGGACGACCCGCGGTCACGAAATAGCCCCACCCCCACCCATCCCACTCACTTGCTCCCTCCCCCTTTGCACACCCCTCGCTCTCGCCCCTGCGCCCCTAGGAGATCCTCCCTCCCAAGCCACATGCACTCCCTCCAGCCAATCCGCCAATCCAGCTAGATTTCTCGCGTCAAACGCGTCACTACTTTTCTCGCCAAACTAGAAAGAAGTAAAAATTCAACCCTGAATTCAATCCGCCAACCCTGACAGCCCAGACTTACGATTTTGTAAACCCTGAACATCGCAAGAAGGCTCAGGCTTGCCGTTTTGCTGAAAATGTGCCTTCAGGGTAAATATTTTCTTGGGGGATTGAAAACAGGGTACCCATATTTGAATCGTCAGCCCTGACGATCACCATTGCCCCACCCCTCAAACCGCTGTAATCCATTGCATTCAGGTATCAGTCGAGCCAATAGATTCCTACCATTAGCCTGAACCAAATCCCTGCTTCCGTCCTCCTCAGGCCCACCTTCCACTGTCCCAAGGCCTATGTCATCTCGGCTGCTCGACGTGCCCTCCCTTCCATGCCTCAAACCTTCACTCAGCTCACTCCTGAGAATTTCCCCAACGTCGCTCCCAATGTGATCGAGCAGTCCCTCCACGCCACAAGGCCAGAGCACGCCAAAGCGAAGCATCCACAGAGACACAGGGTTGTCAGAACATTATAGCTTATGCTTTTGTGTAGGCTGTAGTGGGGTAGCCCATATGGGGTACAACCCACTTAGGGTTAGTACTTGTACCCAACTCTTTCATAGTGCATTCATTCTCGTTTCAGTTTTCTCATGGTATCGAGCAGGTTCCCTCGTGGGAACTGTTCCTAGGGCCCACCGATTCGATTTTTTTTCCTGCCCGGAGCGCGCTCAGCCCTTGCCCGAGTCGCGCTCCCCCTTTCACACTGTGTCGCGCCGCCCTAGCGGCTGTGTCACGCCGCCCTTAACGACCCCGATCCGCCGCCCTAGCGGCCCCGTCGCCTACCTCGCGGCCCTCGAGCCGCCCTTCCCGGCCCCGATTCGCCGCCCTTTCGGCCCCGTCGCCTACCCCGCGGCCCTCGCGCCGCCCTTCCCGACCCGGCCTCGCCCTTGCTGACCCCGTCGCCTACCTACGGCCCCGACGCCTACCTGCGGCCCTGTCGCCTACCTGCGGCCCCGTCGCCTACCTGTGGCCCCGACGCCTACCTGCGGCCCCGTCGCCTACCTGCGGCCCCGTCGCCTCCTTGCGGCCCCGACGCTGCCCTTCCCGGCCCCGACGCTGCCCTTCGCGACCCGGCCCCGCCCCTGCTGGCCCCGTCGCCTAGCCCTGCGGCCCCGACGCCGCCCTTCCCGACCCGGCCCAGTCTCTGCTGGTCCCGTCGCCTACCTTACGGCCCCGGAGCCGCCCCTTCCCGGCCCCGGCCCAGCCCCTACTGGCCCCGTCGCACGCCCTTCCCGGCTCCGACCCCGCCGAGCTACTACCGAGCCGCCAGCGCCACCCAAGCCGCCCGAGCCGCCGCGCCACCTGAGCCGCCCGAGCCGCCTGAGCCGCCCGAGCCGCCCGAGCCGCCGTCCCGCCGAGCCGCCTGAGCCGCCCGAGTCGACTGAGCCGCCCGAGCCGCCCGAGCCGCCCGAGCCGCCCGAGCCGCAGAGTAGCAGAGCCGCCGAGCTGCAGTTCCTACCAAGCCGCCGAGCTGCAGTTCCTACCGAGCTGCCAAGCCGCCCGAGCCACCCTATCCGGTAAGAGCAGCGCCTCTGTCACTGCACTGCCCTTACCCCACTGTTCGCGCTACTAGTCTACTACTGTCATGGCTACCCCTAGTGTCCTCGCTTTTGACGCCGAGGGTCGGGCCATTGACTTTTATGTCTGGATAGATGACCTGCAGCTTTTCCTACAGTGCGATAGGGCAGACGGTCTCTCCCTCTTTGACCTCACCTCTGGTGCCTCTCCTGCCCCTGCTGCTGATGCTGACGCCACTGTTCGCTCACAGTGGGCCACACGCGATGCTGCTGCACGTCTTGCTGTGCGTCGCCACCTGCCTACCTCTGAGCGTGCTCACTTTAGCCAGTACAAGAGTGCTCAGACCTTGTACGACGCTGTAGTTGCACGCTACTCCTCCCCTGCCACTGCTGCACTGAACCGCCTCATGCTACCGTACCTCTTCCCTGACCTTGCTGCCTTTCCCACAGTCGCTGACCTCATTACACACCTCCGCACTAGTGACACTCGCTACCGCGCTGCGCTTCCTGCTGAATTCTGCACCAAGAACCCCCCCCCCCATGTACATCACTCTATACTACATAGTCACCCGGCTCCCTGACTCCCTTCGCGTAGTCAGGGACCACTTCCTCTCAGTTTGCCCCACCACCCTCACCGTTGACCTCCTCGAGAAGGCCCTCCTAGCAGCGGAGAAGAGCATAGTCGCTGTAGGAGCCTCTCGTG